ACCAACATTTCCCGGGGGGGGGGGACCAAAAAAAATTTTTTTCTTCTGTCGACCTCCAAAGTTAAAAATCTGAAAAATATTCACGTTTTACCCAAACTTCCGGTAACTTTGTGCGCAGGCGTAAATGGGCGTGGTCTATCCCTGTGCCAATTTTTAAGATGATTGGTTTAAAACAATGGCGGGAAATTTAAATTTTCCTCTATTTTTCAACACTTTCAAACCCCTCACCCCACCCATAACAGGGTTAGGGTTGAAAATGCGTGTGTTCGTTGACCTGTCAACATGTTATAATTCAACTAACTTTTGGCAAAAAGAACAAAAGGAACTTTGGGAAATGTTGAGAAAGTACGTGAATTTCGACCTTTTCGAAGCTTCCGCATCGCCTTACGTGGACGGTTTTTGAGTTATTGGATTGACTTGAAACTTTGTGCTGTGATACACAGAGGCTTTACCTCTCGTGTGTTCGAGGTTCGTGGAAAAATATTAATCCCCTAATATTTTATAGATTTTTAAAAAGTCATACCTAAAATAATGACACTTTACAAAAAAATCTGTAAAATATTCCCATTTTAACTAAATTGCCCCAAACTTTGCATGCATTTGTAACATGTTTCGGGCAATATTATTGCCAAGTTTCAAGAGGTTTGTTTAAATGGAAAAGCAAGAATCAAGGTCAGAAAAATGTCATAAGATGTTGAAAAAACGCCCCCCCTGAAAATCCACTCAAAGACTAACTAAACTGACGTAGGATAATCAGGGCGTGGTTCTAAACACGTGACAACACCCACTTCCGGTTTTGAGCCTGTTAGAATGATATGTCTAATTAAACACATATCCATTAAAGGACCAAAAAAATCCACGAAAGGACCAAAAAAATCCACCAAAGGACCATGTGTTGTTAAGATTTTATCCGTTCTCAACCAAAGTTGGATGGGGTCATCAGGGCGTTGCCCTGAACACGTGACTACGCCCACTTCTTGTTTCCAGTTTTTTAGACTGATATATGCCTGTAAACACATATCCACCAAAGGACCAGAAAAATCCACTAAAGGCCCAGCAAATGCACAAAAGGACCAGTAAAATCCACAAAAGGACCAACTGTATTATAGAGATTATATTTCATCAAAATTTCATCCATTTTCAACTAAAGTTAGGTGGGATAATTAGGGCGTGGTCCTCAACATGTGACCACGCCCACTTCCGGTTTCGTGTTATACACACTGATATATGTAAAAAACCGCATATTTCCAAAGTTAAAAACGTTTTCAGAAAAATTTCTGAGAATATAAAATGTTGCAAATCACATCAGAAAATACATATAAAAATTTCACAGAAATATATTTAATTTTAAAAAATCCACTAAAACATGAATCCACTCAAGGACCACCAAATCCACCAAAGGACCAGTGAAATCCACAAAAGGACTACCTGTATTATACAGATTATATTTCATCCAGTTTTCATCCATTTTTAACCAAAGTTGGGTGGGATAATTAGGGCGTGGTCCTTAACATGTGACCACGCCCACTTTCTGTTTCGAGCTTTTTAAAACATTTTTTAACTATGAAAATATATGGTTTTTCACATATCTCAGAGGGAAAAACTCCAAACCGGAAGTGGGCATGGTCACATGTTAAAGCCGACGCCCTAATTATCCCACCCAAGTTTGGTTGAAAATGGATGAAATCTTGATGAAATATAATGTTTATAATCCTGCTAGTCCTTTTGTGGATTTTCCTGGTCCTTAAGTGGATTTGCTCGTCCTTTAGTGGATTTTTCTGGTCCTTTAGTGGATATGTATTTAAACACATATATTAGTCTAAAAAACTCGAAATACTATCAAACTCGGGCGGGGTAACTAGGGCGTGGTCCTAAACACGTGACCACTTCCACTTCCGGTTTCGAGTTTTTAAGACTGATATATGTGTCTAAATACATATCCACTAAAGGACCAGAAAAATCCACTAAAGAACCAGCAAATCCACCAAAGGCCCAGTCAAATCCACGAAAGAACCACCTGAATTATACAGATTATATCTCATCAAGATTTTATCCATTTCCAACCAAAGTTGGGTGGAATAATTAGGGCGTGGTCCTAAACATTTGACAACGCCCACTTCCGGTTTCGTGTTATACACACTGAGATATGTAAAAAATCGCATATTTTCATAGTTAAAACCGTTTTCAGAAAAATTTCTTAGAATACAAAATGTTTAAAATAACATCACAAAACACATAAAAAAAAATTAACAAAATATATTGAATTCTTAATATTTTGAAAAAATTCCACTGAAGGACCATCAAATCCACTAAAAGACCACTAAATCCACTAATAGACCAGTAAAATCCACAAAGGGACCATCTGAATTATTGCTAAAATTTTACCCCTTCAATCTCAGGTGTGATCTCTTTGTAGATACCTTGATCAAAAAGTCCGAAGAATATTTCAACGTCAATCAAATTCCGCGAAACTTTAGCAGGGCAATTAGGACGTGGCCCTTAACATGTGACCACGCACCCCACTTCCGGTTTCGAGTTTTTCCCACTGAGATACCTAAAAAATGGCTTTTTTTCATACTTAAAAACGTTTTCTCAAAAATTTCTTAGAATATAAAATGTTGCAAATCACATCAGAAAATACATATAAAAATTTCACGGAAATATATTTAATTTGAAAAAATCCACTAAAACATGAATCCACTCAAGGACCACCAAATCCACCAAAGGACCAGTGAAATCCACAAAAGGACTACCTGTATTATACAGATTATATTTCATATAGATTTCATCCATTTCCCACCAAAGTTGGGTGGAATAATTAGGGCGTGGTCCTAAACATTTGACAACGCCCACTTCCGGTTTCGTGTAATACACACTGAGATATGTAAAAATCGCATATTTTCATAGTTAAAACCGTTTTCAGAAAATTTCTTAGAATACAAAATGTTTAAAATAACATCACAAACACATAAAAAAAAAATTAACAAAAATATATTGAATTCTTAATATTTTGAAAAAATTCCACTGAAGGACCATCAAATCCACTAAAAGACCACTAAATCCACTAATAGACCAGTAAAATCCACAAAGGGACCATCTGAATTATTGCTAAAATCTTACCCAACTTCAATATCAGGTGTGATCTCTTTGTAGATACCTTGATCAAAAAGTCCGAAGAATATTTCAACGTCAATCAAATTCCGCGAAACTTTAGCAGGGTAATTAGGCGCGTGGCTCTTAACATGTGACCACGCCCACTTCCGGTTTCGAGTTTTTCCCACTGAGATACCTAAAAAATGGCTTTTTTCATACTTAAAAACATTTTCTCAAAATTTCTTAGAATATAAAAGTTGCAAATCACATCAGAAAATACATATAAAAATTTCACAGAAATATATTTAATTTTAAAAAATCCACTAGGAGACCAGAATCCACAGAAGGACCACCAAATCCACAAAAGGACGAGTCAAATGCACAAAGGACAACCTGTATTAAAAAATATATTTCATCCAGATTTCATCCATTTTCAACTAAAGTTGGGTGGGATAATTAGGGCGTGGCCTTTAACATGTGACCACGCCCACTTCCGGTTTCGAGTTTTTCCCACTGAGATACCTAAAAATGGCTTTTTTTCATACTTAAAAACATTCTCTCAAAAATTTCTTAGAATATAAAATGTTGCAAATCACATCAGAAAATACATATAAAAATTTCACAGAAATATATTTAATTTTAAAAAATCCACCAGGAGACCAGAATCCACAAAAGGACAAGTCAAATGCACAAAAGGACAACCTTTAATAAATAGAATATATTTCATCCAGATTTCATCTATTTTCAACCAAACTTGGGTGGGGTAATAAGGGTGTGATCCTTAACATGTGACTACGCCCACTTTTGTTTCGAGTTTTTGGCACTGAGATAACTTAAAAACGGCAATTTTCATAGTTAAAAACGTTTCTGAAAAATTTCTGAGAATATAAAATGTTGCAAATCACATCGCAAAATACATATAAAAATTTTACGGAAAGATATTGAGTTTAAAAAAAAATCCACTGAAGGACCAGAATCCACAGAAAGACCACCAAATCCACACAAGGACCAGTGAAATCCACGAATGGACCACCTGTATTATACAGTTTATATTTCATCAAAATTTCATCCATTTTCAACCAAAGTTTGGTGGAATAATGAGGGCATGGTCCTTGACATTTGAACATGCCCACTACCGGTTTCGAGTTTTAGACACTGGGATATGTAAAAAATTCGTGTTTAAAGGGTTGAAAAATATTTTCAAAAAAATTCTTAGAATATAAAATGTTTAAAATCACATCAGAAAACACATACAAAAATTTCACAGAAATATATTTATTTCTTAATATCTTGAAAAATTCCACTAAAGGACCACATTTACATATTTACAACAATATCAAAGTTTAAAATCTAATTTTGGGGTTGTTGTCATGATGGATAAGCTATTTTTGATGTCCTGTGTCAAATGAGAAAGAATGAAAATTTTGAGACAGGATAGCAATAAATTAACATAAATATCAAATATTTTTCTTTTGATGATTACCCAGAACTTTTAGCTGCACTTGCACCTTAAATTTGAATATCTTACCTTCAGCGAAGGCTCAAGGCTTCTTGGCTTTTTACTTGCATGCTTCTTTATCTGTTAATGTAGAAAATTGTGAGTCTAGTGAGTGAAATGGAATAAGCAGTTAAACAGAATATCAGCTTATTCCTATAATATCTCCATTGTAAAAACAGAACTTACCTTTGTTTTGTGTGTCCTCTTAGTCCCTTTATGAGGGGACTTCTGCCTTGGTCGCTGGCCTGAGGGTATCTCCTCATCACTGTTAACTGGGGACTTTGCCCTTGGTCGCTGGCCTGAGGGTATCTCCTCATCACTGTTAACTGGAGACTCTGCCCTTGGTCGCTGGCTTGAGGGTATCTTCTCGTCAATTTCATCATTGCGGCCTTTTGTGTTCTGTCCCCCTCAATCTTTTCGAACACAAAAGTTCCCTCGCTATCAGTATCACTATCATCCTCATCTTTGCTAGAATACACCTCTTTTTCCATTTTTTCTTTCTAAAGTTAAAGGGTTTTATATTTCATATTGTTCTCCACCATGCAAGTGAGCTAACATTTCATTCTCTTCCTACCTTGTCCAGGGGCAGGTCTTATCCTTTTTTGTCCATCTGTAGGGGATAAATCATAAAAAATATTTAATAAGAGCCTGAATTATTGGTGAAGGCTCCAACAGAGAATGAGCATGCCCCTGGTGGGTGACCATGCCCTAAGTGCCCCATCCAAGTTTTGTTGAAATCCGTTGAAACTGCCCTGAGAAATTGCAGTCTGCAGTTGTCACTAAATACATGATCCACCAAAGGACCACTAAAATCCACCAAAGGACCACAAAAATCCACAAAACGGCCCTGTGTCGTTAAGATTTTATCCGTTTTCAATCAAAGTTAGGTGGGGTCATTAAGGTGCGGTCCTAAACAAGTGACCACACCCACTTCCAGTTTCAAGTCTTTTATACTTATATATGTTGTTAAATACATAATCCACTAAAGGCCCACTAAATCCACTAAAAGACCACAAAAATCCACAAACGGACCAGACTAAATCCACTGAAGGACCACCGATTGGAAGTGGGCGTGTCAAAAAATCAAAGACCACGCCCACATTCCCCCCCGGAATATGGGTGGAATTGGTAAAAACCCCCGCGAGATACACCTTTCCAAAGTTTTAAAAAAATAAAAAAAAATACTTAATTAGCTTCTAGCTGGACGTGGGCGTAACCCATGGTGGGTGACTACGCCCCACATACCCCACCCAAGTTTTGTTGGAATCCCTGCTAAGCGCTCTGAGATATCACTGTCCGACGTAAACGCCCCATTAATAATAAAAATCCACTCAAGGACCAGGGAAGGAGGTCCAGGCTTGTTAATGAGATCAGTGGGTGATGATTTGATTGACAACTATTTTGTAATATTTCACTTTCACAATTTCGCCAACAATATTGCAAATATTAAACAAATTGCACGTTAAATTTAAATAAAAACATTATCATACACACCTTAAGAGGTCTATCCTTCGATATGAATGACTTTAAGGCCCACACAAGCAATTAAAACGACAAATTTGCGACAATTTCTTGAGAACAATACAATACAACCTTCTTCCTCGAAACGAACTTTCACTATTGTCTAAATATTGCATACACCAGCATGACATTTTCCACTTAGAAAAACAAAAATCCTTAATATTAAAAAATGAAAATTTTGGACATTTTGACCAATAACTAAAGTTCTAGACACTCCCATGCAATGAAATTCATATCGTTAGATTCGTCTTGTGAGAGGAATCTTTTGATAGCTCTTACAAAGCTGTACATAGCATATTTCTCTTTTAACAATTGAAATTCTGAGTGTTATTTAATTATCTCAAAATGACCTATTTTGGAGACATTTTCTAATATCTCTAGTTCTATACATGCACCTGCAATGACAGTGCTATCATTAGATTTGTCTAAGTGAGATGAATCTTTTGATACCTCATACATAGCTGTACAATGCATATTTCGTTTTTAAAAATTTTGAATTTGAGTGGTTTGGATAATTAGTTATAGTATACACATTTCCACTAATATCTCCAGTTGTATTCACTCCCTTGCAATGAAAGTGGTATCATTAGATTCATCTTGGTGAGAGGAATCTTTTGATAGCTTTTACATAGCTGTACATAGCATATTTCTCTTTTAACAATTGAAATTCTGAGTGTTATTTAATTATCTCAAAATGACCTATTTTGGAGACATTTTCCCTAATATCTCTAGTTCTATACATGCACCTGCAATGACAGTGCTATCATTAGATTTGTCTAAGTGAGATGAATCTTTTGATACCTCATACATAGCTGTACAATGCATATTTCGTTTTTAAAAATTTTGAATTTGAGTGGTTTGGATAATTAGTTATAGTATACACATTTCCACTAATATCTCCAGTTGTATTCACTCCCTTGCAATGAAAGTGGTATCATTAGATTCATCTTGGTGAGAGAATCTTTTGATAGCTTTTACATAGCTGTACATAGCATATTTCTCTTTTAACAATTGAAATTCTGAGTGTTATTTAATTATCTCAAAATGACCTTTTTTGGAGACATTTTCCCTAATATCTCTAGTTGGATTCCTCTCTGTGAGACCAATCTTTTGATAGCCCATACATAGCTGTACAATGCATATTTTTTAAAAAAATTTCACAGAAACATATTTAATTTTAAAAAATCCACTAGGAGACCAGAATCCGCAGAAGGACCACCAAATCCACAAAAGGACGAGTCAAATGCACAAAAGGACAACCTGTATTAAATAGAATATATTTCATCCAGATTTCATCCATTTCTAACCAAAGTTGGGTGGGATAATTAGGGCGTGGTCCTTAACATGTGACCACGCCCACTTCCTGTTTCGAGCTTTTTAAAACATTTTTTAACTATGAAAATATACGGTTTTTCACATATATCAGAGGGAAAAACTCCAAACCGGAAGTGGGCATGGTCACATGTTAAGGGATACGCCCTAATTATCCCACCGAAGTTTGGTTGAAAATGGATGAAATCTTGATGAAATATAATGTTTATAATCCTGCTAGTCCTTTTGTGGATTTTCCTGGTCCTTAAGTGGATTTGCTCGTCCTTTAGTGGATTTTTCTCGTCCTTTAGTGGATATGTATTTAAACACATATCTCAGTCTAAAAAACTCGAAATACTATCAAACTCGGGCGGGGTACCTAGGGCGTGGTCCTAAACACGTGACCACTTCCACTTCCGGTTTCGAGTTTTTAAGACTGATATATGTGTCTAAATACATATCCACTAAAGGACCAGAAAAATCCACTAAAGGACCAGCAACTCCACCAAAGGACCAGTCAAATGCACAAAAGGACAACCTGAATTATACAGATTATATCTCATCAAGATTTTATCCATTTCCAACCAAAGTTGGGTGGAATAATTAGGGCGTGGTCCTTAACATTTGACAACGCCCACTTCCGGTTTCGTGTTATACACACTGAGATATGTAGAAAATCGCATATTTTCATAGTTAAAACCGTTTTCAGAAAAATTTCTTAGAATACAAAATGTTTAAAATAACATCACAAAACACATAAAAAAAAATTAACAAAAATATATTGAATTCTTAATATTTTGAAAAAATTCCACTGAAGGACCATCAAATCCACTAAAAGACCACTAAATCCACTAATAGACCAGTAAAATCCACAAAGGGACCATCTGAATTATTGCTAAAATTTTACCCAACTTCAATCTCAGGTGTGATCTTTGTAGATACCTTGATCAAAAAGTCCGAAGAATATTTCAACGTCAATGAAATTCCGCGAAACTTTAGCAGGGTAATTAGGGCGTGGCCCTTAACATTTGACCACGCCCACTTCCGGTTTCGAGTTTTTCCCACTGAGATACCTAAAAAATGGCTTTTTTTCATACTTAAAAACGTTTTCTCAAAAATTTCTTAGAATATAAAATGTTGCAAATCACATCAGAAAATACATATAAAAATTTCACGGAAATATATTTAATTTGAAAAAATCCACTAAAACATGAATCCACTCAAGGACCACCAAATCCACCGAAGGACCAGTGAAATCCACAAAAGGACTACCTGTATTATACAGATTATATTTCATCCAGATTTATCCATTTTCAACCAAAGTTGGGTGGGATATTAGGGCGTGGTCCTTAACATGTGACCACGCCCACTTCCTGTTTCGAGCTTTTTAAAACATTTTTTAACTATGAAAATATACGGTTTTTCACATATATCAGAGGGAAAAACTCCAAACCGGAAGTGGGCATGGTCACATGTTAAGGGATACGCCCTAATTATCCCACCGAAGTTTGGTTGAAAATGGATGAATCTTGATGAAATATAATGTTTATAATCCTGCTAGTCCTTTTGTGGATTTTCCTGGTCCTTAAGTGGATTTGCTCGTCCTTTAGTGGATTTTCCTGGTCCTTTAGTGGATATGTATTTAAACACATATATCTCAGTCTAAAAAACTCGAAATACTATCAAACTCGGGCGGGGTACCTAGGGCGTGGTCCTAAACACGTGACCACTTCCACTTCCGGTTTCGAGTTTTTAAGACTGATATATGTGTCTAAATACATATCCACTAAAGGACCAGAAAAATCCACTAAAGGACCAGCAAATCCACCAAAGGACCAGTCAAATGCACAAAAGGACAACCTGAATTATACAGATTATATCTCATCAAGATTTTATCCATTTCCAACCAAAGTTGGGTGGAATAATTAGGGCGTGGTCCTAAACATTTGACAACGCCCACTTCCGGTTTCGTGTTATACACACTGAGATATGTAAAAAATCGCATATTTTCATAGTTAAAACCGTTTTCAGAAAAATTTCTTAGAATACAAAATGTTTAAAATAACATCACAAAACACATAAAAAAAATTAACAAAAATATATTGAATTCTTAATATTTTGAAAAAATTCCACTGAAGGACCATCAAATCCACTAAAAGACCACTAAATCCACTAATAGACCAGTAAAATCCACAAAGGGACCATCTGAATTTGCTAAATTTTACCCAACTTCAATCTCAGGTGTGATCTCTATGTAGACCTTGATCAAAAAGTCCGAAGAATATTTCAACGTCAATGAAATTCCGCGAAACTTAGCAGGGTAATTAGGGCGTGGCCCTTAACATTTGACCACGCCCACTTCCGGTTTCGAGTTTTTTCCCACTGAGATACCTAAAAAATGGCTTTTTTTTCATTACTTAAAAACGTTTTCTCAAAAATTCTTAGAATATAAAATGTTGCAAATCACATCAGAAAATACATATAAAAATTTCACGGAAATATATTTAATTTGAAAAAATCCACTAAAACATGAATCCACTCAAGGACCACCAAATCCACCGAAGGACCAGTGAAATCCACAAAGGACTACCTGTATTATACACAGATTATATTTCATCCAGATTTTATCCATTTTCAACCAAAGTTGGGTGGGATGATTAGGGCGTGGTCCTTAACATGTGACCACGCCCACTTCCTGTTTCGAGCTTTTTAAAACATTTTTTAACTATGAAAATATACGGTTTTTCACATATATCAGAGGGAAAAACTCCAAACCGGAAGTGGGCATGGTCACATGTTAAGGGAACGCCCTAATTATCCCACCGAAGTTTGGTTGAAAATGGATGAATCTTGATGAAATATAATGTTTATAATCCTGCTAGTCCTTTTGTGGATTTTCCTGGTCCTTAAGTGGATTTGCTCGTCCTTTTAGTGGATTTTCCTGGTCCTTTAGTGGATATGTATTTAAACACATATCTCAGTTCTAAAAAACTCGAAATACTATCAAACTCGGGCGGGGTACCTAGGGCGTGGTCCTAAACACGTGACCACTTCCACTTCCGGTTTCGAGTTTTTAAGACTGATATATGTGTCTAAATACATATCCACTAAAGGACCAGAAAATCCACTAAAGGACCAGCAAATCCACCAAAGGACCAGTCAAATGCACAAAAGGACAACCTGAATTATACAGATTATATCTCATTCAAGATTTTATCCATTTCCAACCAAAGTTGGGTGGAATAATTAGGGCGTGGTCCTAACATTTGACGCCCACTTCCGGTTTCGTGTTATACACACTGAGATATGTAAAAATCGCATATTTTCATAGTTAAAACCGTTTTCAGAAAAATTTCTTAGAATACAAAATGTTTAAAATAACATCACAAACACATAAAAAAAAATTAACAAAAATATATTGAATTCTTAATATTTTGAAAAAAATTCCACTGAAGGACCATCAAATCCACTAAAAGACCACTAAATCCACTAATAGACCAGTAAAATCCACAAAGGGACCATCTGAATTATTGCTAAAATTTTACCAACTTCAATCTCAGGTGTGATCTCTTTGTAGATACCTTGATCAAAAAGTCCGAAGAATATTTCAACGTCAATGAAATTCCGCGAAACTTTAGCAGGGTAATTAGGGCGTGGCCCTTAACATTTGACCACGCCCACTTCCGGTTTCGAGTTTTTCCCACTGAGATACCTAAAAAATGGCTTTTTTTCATACTTAAAA